GAATTGAACTCAGGGGCACTTGACCACTGAACCACATCACCAGCCCTATTTTGTATTTTATTTAGAGACAGGGTCTTATTGAGTTGCTTAGAGCCTCGCTTTTGCTGAGGCTGGTTTTTTGAACTTGAGATCCTCCTGCCTTAGCCTCCCGAGCCATTGGGATTACAAGCATGCGCCACTGCACCTAGCCCAGTCCTATTCTTGTAGAGTCACTGTTCTTTGGCATTTACTGGCCAACTTACTTATAGAGATGTAAACCACTTCTCAAGAGACGGTAGACCTTTGAGACATAACAGGTGAAGTTCTCACTAACAGTTAAAATGTTTGGAGTTCTGATTGTAAATGTCACTCCTTCACACTCAGCTTTTCTATTGAAATGATCAAAGATAGGTCATGAGGTTCTCTTTTGAGCACCTGTCCTCCCTCCTGTTTCTCTTTCTAGAATCTGTCCATGCAATTACCCTCTGAACTCCCTCAGGAAGCCTTGAGGAATTCTCTCAAATAGCTTTTCAAAATTTCTTCCTCCTACTCCTCCTTCTTCTGCCTCTTCCTTTTCTCATTCTTATTTTTTGGTATTGGGGATTGAACTAAGGGATGCTTTACCACTGAGCCACATCCCCAGTCTTCTTGAGTTTTCATTTTGAGACAAGTCTCACTAAATTGCTTAGGGCCTCACTAAATTGCTGGGCCTTGAACTTGAGATCCTGTTGCCGCAGCCTTCAGAGTTGCTGGGATTACAGGCATATACCACCACGCCCAGCTTCAAAATTCCCTTTGTCTAACGTTGACTTATCTATCCCATCATTACTGTCAGGACTCTATGGTGGCTTACTATGTCTCCAAGATGTCTTATGTACTGCTTAGGATGCATGCTGTTGCAAGAAATTTGAATTAGTTTGAGTAGAATTGTTTACATATTTGCTAAGTCAGAGTTTGGAAGCTTTCAGGGATGAACTGATTCAGTGGCTCTTCTTCTCTATGAATGGCTCCCCCTCTTGGTTCAAAATATTTGCAAACGACTTCCAAGATACATATTTTCTTAGTTGCCTTCCAAGGGGAGGACTGTCACTTCAAGGAGTTGCATTAGAAAAGTCAGTTATGTAATCATTCCATAATCTACACATATACCAAGGCATCACACTGTACTCCCCAAATATATATATAGTTATTTGTCAATAAAAATATCAATTAAAATATAGGATAATAAAACATTCAATGAGCACCTACTGTATGCCAAGTGCTTTAAATACATTATGTAATATAATCCTCACATTGACACCTGCAATGAATATACTCACTTTTCACATTTGCTAGGTGGATGACTTAGCAAATTTCTTAATCTCCTTTTACCTTGTCTGTAAAATGAGGATAATCTAGTGCCCACTTCATAGGGTTGTTCTGAGAGTAAATGAAACAAACATAAGATAGAAACCCTTGGCACGGTGCCTGGCATATACAGAGAAGCTTCAATATACGTTAGGTATCTCACGCACAGAGTAAGCATGCTCCCAGAACTCCCAAGCAAGCCCTGGGTTACATGATCATCTGTGAACAAATCACAGTGGCCAAGGGATGGGTTAGGAGCCACCTGCTCCATTCCTAGAGTCAAAGTGGAGTCAGCCTCCCTTAAGTACCTGGGTTGTAAGTAGAACAGACATCAAATGAAGTCTAGGGGCAGTAAACAGTAAGAAGGAGAAAAGATATTGGGGAGAGGAGGGAGCTACAAGGTCTTTTATGTCCTGGATTATTTTAGTTATTCTGAATATTTTAGCAAAAAAAGATATTTACCACTGATAGGAAAGTTTTCTCAAAATATATCTTCCAAAAATAATCTTCCTCAAGTTCCTGAAGTCACATACCATATGAGGTCAAGCACTTTCTCTTAAACTCTGTCTTCTTTTATCTATACCTAACTTTATATAATCTCCAATTTATAACAATATTCATTATAATCTTCCTTATTATCCTAAGTCATCAGCACTGGTACAGTTATCTTACCTTCTTTTACAACTGCCTGCTTACAATTCACATTTGGTAACAGAATATCACCAGAAGGACATTTATATAAGGCCAAGTAGGTGCCATCATTCTTAGTATGTGTGTGTGTGTGTGTGTGTGTGTACAGTTTAGCATTATACGCCCAGATTATTTTCTTTGAAGATCCATCTTTTCAATTACATTTCAATAAAACCCATTTTTTTTTCCTTTTAAAACACATCTTTTCAATTAAAGCAATAATTGTCTGGGGAACAAAACTATGGACTTCAAATTGGTTTTCCACCCGAGGTTCATCTTCATTTAGCATTTTTAAATGTCGGTGCTGTACACAGAGATTCGTTATGTATTTAAAACCTTTTGTGTGCTAAGACCCTGAGGGGGTTTTCCTGTGAAGGGAGCAATTTAAAAATCTGAAAATAAATTATTGGTATTGAACATTCTTGTCTCTAGATTTTCTTGTAGTTTTCAAATATTGGCTAAATATTTATCTTTTGGGGGTATGGGTTGGAAATAGCTATGGGGAGAGATTAATTGCCTAAAGCATTTTATTGATCTGCCATGAGTGGGTAAATACATCAAATTAAAAACTCCCCCATCTCCATCAAAAAGCACATGAAGGGCTGAGAGGTGAAGGCAGATGTTGAGCACAGATGATGGTAGAGATGAGTTTAAGTATATTGTATGCTCTCCCTGTAATAAGATTTTTTCAAATCTGTTCTTTTCTTCTCTCTCTCTCTCTTTTTTTTTTTTTTTTTTTGGTGCCAGGGATTGAACTCAGGGGTGCTTAGCCACTGAGCCACATTCCCAGCCCTTTTAAAAATATTTTGTTTAGAGACAAGGTTGCACTGAGTGCCTTAGGGCCTGGCTAATTTGCTGAGTCTGGCTCTGAACTTCTGATCCTCCTGCCTCAGCCTCCCAAACTGCTGGGATTACAGGTGTGTGCCACTGAGCCTGGCCAGAAACCTCTTCTTAATGTTAGCTATAGGTACAAGGCAATTTTGTTTGTTGTTTGTTTACTTGTTCATTTGTTTCTTCCTCCTCCTCCTTCTTCTTCTGCTTCTCCTTCTTCCCTTGAGACAGGGTCTGACTAAGATACCTAGGCAGGCCTTGAACTTCCGATCTTCCTACCTTACCCTCCATCCCCAGTGTCTGGAATCACAGGTGTGCATCACCGTGCCTGGCTTTTTCTATTGCTGAAAAGAAAAAAATATAAAGAAAACTAACCCAGTTCAAACCTTATAGTTTCATCTAGTGACAGAGCATCATTTTGTTTTCTAAAAATTATTCATGAACAAGATCTCTCAGCATGCACAAGAGGAAATAAGATCTTCCTTTCAGTTAAAAAAAAAAATAAACACTTCTTGTTGTTGTTGCTTTGGTGAACTCTCAGGGTAACACGGAGTCCTGCTCCTGGAAAACCACAACAAAAGACAAGACAGCAAGTGGCCTGCCCAGACACCAACTGATCACTGCTTTTTTAAATAGACTATTTGGGGGATACCAGTTTAAGAGAGACCCAAAATTGTAATCTCTTTGGAGACCATTTCAAAGTGTGGTTTAAGGCATCCTGGAAGTTACTTCCTGTAAACATGGCCATGGTTATAGGAATAAGGTACTCTCCCACAGCATATAAAAGCAGTCTTTTCTTTCTTTCTTTTTTTTTTTTTTAACCATTTCCAGGAACAAACCTCTGTGTAGATGACTGTTTTCTTGCCTAGTCTGGAGCTTTGATTGCAATACCATGTGCCTAAAAGAGTCCCCACCAGGTATGTGAAGGTGCATATGAGCCTGAGAAGAACAGATGGACAGAGAAGTTATTTCAGCTTTTTTCTTTTTCTTTCTTTCTTCAAAATCTATTCAGTGGCAGGTTCTCCTGGTGATGACATAAAATCAGCTTTGAGAGGTTCAGGGCACCAATCTCTTTGCAGGTCAGTGTTGAGAAAGCTTGACCTTCCAACAGGTTGCTCCCTGCTGGCGCAGTGGTCCTATGTGCCCCCTGGCCACCCAAGCCCCACCCCCTGCCCTATCCCTACCCTACCTCTACATCTCATTTTTGGAATCTCCTCCCCATTATCTCTTTGGGCCTGATCTACAACCTAAGAACCTTCTTCACTTGGATTTTTAAAGGACTGGGGTGGCTATTATTAGATACTGAAGAAGTCTTAACTCTCTTGATTAGGTGTAGACAGAGCTCGGAGAAGGAATTAGAAGCAGCTGAACAGGAAGACCCACACAAACAAGACCCAACAGAAAGAAACAGCACTGCTAAGCAAGTAAGATACTGAGAAGAGACCATGGGCAGTCATGTCGACAAGAGTGCATGGTGTCAGCTCTGTTCATGTCATCGACTCATCTACTAGTGTTTCTGTGGTTTTTATGGTTTTTCAAAAGCTCATATTGAAAAATCACCCAAGATACCTGCTGTACCAGCAAGAACCATCCTGCCAAAACACTTCTAAGTACAACCCTGATCAGAGCTCCACCCACCATCTGTTAACACCTACTAATAATGTTACAGTATATCTGTGCCAAAGATTTGAGATATTGAGACTTTTGGGGTCCACGAGTTTCTATACATGTCACTCTGGTCAGCAAGATAGTTTTAAGGTATATGCAAAACATTTATCCTACTTATCCTTTTAATGGTTATATATTCATTTTTAATATGCATTAGGAAAGAATGAGAGAAGGGAGAGAGAGAGAGAGCAAGAAGAAGAGGGAGAGGGAAAGAGAGAGGGAGGGAAAAAATATATCAATCCCTACATTAAGCAGCATCACCTAGCATAAGTTCATTATCAAACTCAAGGCCAGGTCTCAATAGATGATTTGGGGGCCCAACTTGTTAGGGTGTGAGAATCATGGGCTCTGTGATACTCAGATTTGAGAAGATGAATCTCTCCTACTACCCTGACCAGTGACTGTGGACAAGTGTCTCCTGCCAGTTGGGTTGTGCGAGGAAGAACACTTTCCAGAGTCCTTCATTTTTCAGCGGACACATTAGCTGGAGTTTTGCAACATTTAATCACAAAAGAATCTGGCATTTTAAAAGTTAGTTTACAAACTTGACACATTCTTAATATTAGCAATTTATCTATTTATACATTGTCTAAGAAAATAAGGTCTGGGAGACATCAACAAGATACTTAAGAGTTCATTAAAAGCTATAGCACTTTGCAAATGAGTATCCAGTTTAATTGTAACAAATCACTACCAGCGAATTTAACTAAGTATATAAAAACATTAGTTAAATACAATTCTCTGGAAATATACATTATACCTACAGTTGTTTTTACAGTGAGATTCTTCCTGTTTGAGTTTTTTCCCCCCTTTTAATTATCAAAATGGTAAATCACTGCATGGTCCTGGATCTCCATGCTGTAAAACTGAAATATGTGTTTCCAGCGTAGCAGATGGTGACCAGGAAGGCGAAGAACTGGAGAAAACAAAGCATAATAGAAAAGGGGTTTAGGGCACATTCTAATTAGCAAAAGTTATCATTTCACCTCCACTGAGTGAATCATGTACTCACGACATTCCCCTGACTCCAGGCTTCTCATCTAAAATTACTTTATTGGTTCAATTACTTTCTTCTCAAGCAATTTCTGGCCAGGCTGATTTTAGCTTTTGGAACATGTCTGGAAAGTCTATAGTTCTGCTCAAACCACCTCGGGGAGATCCCTTAGGAGTGAGTATGGTGGTGCATCTATGAAAAGTCTATCACTTCTAATTCAGCACAGGCAATTTTCGACCTTGGATTACCACAGGGTCAGCTCGCAGAAACAAATTGAGGGGGCCAGAATAAGCAACGAACCTAGATGGGGGAGGAGGAAAATTCAGGCCCTTCTTAAGGGGGCAAATACACTCACTGCTAGCCCATCCTTGCTGTATGTTAATTGGAGTCCAGTCTTACCAAAGCTGGGGATGTTTTAACATCATGTGCATTTATGCTCTCTACCTTTTAAACATGATTTTCAAATCTAAACAAAAGAATATAATGAACCCTTACATGTCATTAGTTTTCCTTTTTTTTTTTTTTTGGTACAAGGGATTGAACCCACAGGCACTTAACCACTGAGCCATATCTCCAGCCCTTTTTTACATTTTATTTAGAAATAGAGTCTGGATAAGTTGCTTAGGGCCTCACTAAGTTGCTACGGTTGGCTTTGAATTCTCAATCCTCCTGCCTCAGCTTCTGCTCCTGGCCATACCATCATTTTTAATGTTCTCATTCTGTCATTCCTGTCTAATCACCAATCTCTACTCCAGATAGGCTTCTTTGGGGCATGGGATATTTTAAGGCCAATCTCAGAGCCATTCTTCAAACTAGTTTTTTTTTTTTTTCCCTTTTGTATTGGGGATTGAACCCAGAGGCACTTAACCACTGAGCCACATCCCCAGTCCTATGTTGTATTTTATTTAGAGACATGGTCTCACTGAGTTGCTTAGTGTCTCACTTTTGCTGAGGCTGGCTTTGAACTTGCAATCCTCCTGCCTCAGCCTCCCAGTCTGCTGGGATTAGAGGCGTGATCCACCATGCCCGACATTTTTTTTTAATTAGAAAAATAATATACAATTATGGTTTTAAAACAGTATGCAAACACATAAACTAAAAAATGGAGGTTTCTCATCTTATTCCCCTCATTTTCCAGTCCCAATCCCTGGATGGAAGCTCCATCTGTTTTTCTGAGCATTCTGAATGCACAAACATTTCCACTATTATGCTCATTCTCTGCAACCTCCTCCACTTAATAAGCTGTAGGCAGTGGAATCATTTCAGACAGTTCTTCTCTCTCAGGTACTTACCTTCCTCCATTCCACTTTCACTTAAGCAGAGGGCTTCAACCCGATGGCTCTGCAGCCTGCAGGTCATCTCACCAGTTTTTGAAACAGCAAATCAATTGTCCACTTGTTACTATTACAAGTGGCACTTTTTCCTGTAGATAACTTTGTCCTCTTCCCTAAGTAATCCTTGGGGGAAGGAAGAGGAGGAGGGCTGTGAGGAGATGGGAGGGCTCACTCACCGATGAGGCCGCCCAGCTGTTGAAGTTGTGATTGCCCCTCTCTGGAGAGACAGAAGATGCATCCACAATGGCGGCAGAGAGGTATAAGACGAAGGCACTGCCATTAAAGCACAGGCCCTGGGGAGAGGCAGAGGGGCAGAGTGTTCAGGGTGAGAGGGACCTCAGAACCAGCCAGAATTGCAAAATCTCAGAAGTGCAGAATTGGTAAGGGGCCCAAGGTGAGGACAAGGAGGGGGAGGAAGCTGTGAGAAACAGCTGCAAGAGGAGAGGGTTTGGGGCTGGGGTTGTGGCTCAGCAGTAGAGCGCTCGCCTAGCAAATGCGAGGCACTGGGTTCAATCCTCAGCATCACATAAAAATAAATTAAAAAAAAAAAGAGGAGAAGGTTTCATACCAGCTCACGCACCAGAAGCCATTCCACCCAGCAAGGCACCTCCATGCTGCTGCTAAATTAGCCCTTATTCTTCCTCAGCTGGTTCTTGGTTCTCATTTAATGCAAATTTCAGCATGGTGACACATTGGTGGAGCAAGGCAGGCAGAGGCAGGGGCCACATGGTGAGAAGAGACCTTTTGGGAGAGCCCTTTTTCCAAACAGACGGGGCTGATGGCTCTAAGCAGGCATGGGCATTTCAGTGAGCATCTCTGGCCACACGGCCAGTTTTTCAAAGTAAAAAAGAAGACTGTAGATATCATCACAGCCCTTTAGGAACTAATCTTGCCCTTGGTTTCACCTTATTATTATTATTTTTTCTATTCTTAGAGAACGGAGATATGTAAATCCAAGGAGGTAATTGGTTTTGAGTTATATTTAAACTCCAGGAATTCATAGTCTGAAATGTGCAAAGCTTGGTCATTTCTGAACACCAGTGTGAGTGTGGTGGGGTCGGGAAAAACCTAACAGCCTACAGGTAAGAAGAGGGAGGCATCTCAAGGAGTCAGTCCCCTGTGGTCTAGCACCTCCCCCTCCACAGTTCAGAGGGGAGAGGGATGGGCAGAGGAAAGAGGAGGAGGCAATCTTTTCCTTCTCAGAGGAGAAAAGGTACATATAATTTTCCAGATGTGGGTCCCAGAATTTTGAGTTGAACATCCTTGTGACCATCTCTGCCCCTTGTTCACACGGCCCCTGGGTTAGGTGATGAGACTCTGAAACAAGGGCTGTGTCAGGATCACATGCAGGGTTTGGGCTGCCCCTGATGTTCATCTATCATTGATAATGTGTCTCCAAGAAGCTCTGGTTTCCCTAGATGACTGTTTTTTTGTTTTTTTTTTCTTTCTTCTAGTACCAGGAATTGAATCCAGGGGTGCTCTACCACTGAGTTACACCCTCAGCCCTTTTATTCTTCTTTTATTTTGAGACAGGGTCTTAACTAGTTGATGAGGCTGGCTTTGAATTTGCAATCTTCCTGCCTCAGCCTCATAAATCACTGGGATCATAGGTATGTGCCACCATGACCAGCCATCTGAAGATTCCCCCCCCCCCGATATTGGGGATTGAACCCAGGAGTGCTTTACCACTGAGTTACATCCCCAGCCCTTTTTATTATGAGACAGGGCTAATGAAGTTGCTTAGCGCCTTGTCTAGTTGCTGAGGCTGGCTTCAAATTTGTGATCATCCTGCTTTAGCCTCCCAAGTCACTGAGATTACAGGCATGTGACACTGCACACAGCATCTGTACATTTTTTAAAAAAATATTTATGTTTTAGTTGTAGTTGGACACATACCTTTATTTTATTTATTTATTTTTTGGAGGTACTGAGGATCAAACCCAGGGCCTCCCACGTGCTAGGCAAGCCCTCTACCGCTGAGCCACAACCCCCATCTGTACATTTTTAAAAAAGAAAACTTTGCTCTCTTTTCACATCACCTTTTAGAACTTAGAGCTTTGCACATTAACTATTACTTTTGAAACATTAAGAGGCTTATTTATTTATTTATTTTAAGGTAATACATGCTCATGGTTGCCAGACAATCCAACCTGGACAGAACAATCTGGATTAAAAAAGGCAGCGTCTCCCTTTCTACTCCAACCCCTCCTTTTGGGTGCAAACACTTTAATACAAATGGAGCCATGGAATTATTAACTTGATTCCTCCACCTACATTTAAAAGATACCAAAGACATTTTCACAGGTAGTTCAAACAGACTGTGATTCTTGTCATGGTATTAGTGCCTCAAAATTAAACTCTTCCCCTATTGATGGGCATGTTGATATTACTTGTTTGCCAGGATTACAAACACTACTGTAATAACCATCTTTGAATGTGTATTTTGGGGGTACCCATGCATGGCCAGTTCTCCAACAAGGATGAAGGGGCCAGATATGGTGGCACACACCTGTAATCTCAGCAGCTTGGGAGAGGCAGGAAGATTGCGAGTTCAAAGCCAGCCTCAGAAACTTAGCAAGGCGCTAAGCAACTCAGCGAGACCCTGTCTCAAAATAAAATACTAAAAAATGGCTGGAGATGTGGCTCAGTGGTCGAGTGCCCCTGAGTTCAATCCCTGGTACAAGGGGGAAAAAAAAAAAGAGTCCTTGAGCAAATATATGAATAATGAAGACGTGCAATGGCCTTGTCTCCCAGTAAGTGTGGCCCAGTCCTTTTTTCTGAACTCTACAGAAAGGAGAAACTCCTCTACTTCCCTTGCAAACAGGGAGAGGGATGAGTAGGAGATAGGCCATTCTTTTCCATATACCCTGCCAGGGGTCCTGCCGGTTATTCACAAGACTCCATTAATACCATCTCACAGAGCCTAACTTTTTGGTTTCTCAGTCTTGCTTAATACTCCCCAAAGTAAATATGTCCCAGGGGATGTCTGAGTTGGGGAACTGGAGTGGAAACATGTGGAGACATGAAAGAAATAAGAAGAGCAAAGAAACCAGTACCCGAGGTTGTTTCAAAGGTTCAACAAAGAGAACAGGTGATTACAGAAACCTCAGAGGGCTGTAGAACATCACTGAGCCTCACAGAAATATGAGGTCTTACTGCTGTAAAAGAAGCAGGGGCTATTCAAGCCGAAAGAAGTTAAAGCTTCCCTGTTGCAAATCCCAGTTCTGGACACATCCCTGGGCCATGGTAACGGCAGAGTGACAAGGACAACACTGTACCTTACTTGATCCCTGTTTCACACAAAGGCACTCTTTTTTTTTTTTTTCTCAAATAAAGGCACACACAGACAAAAGCCATCCAATAGCTGGCAAAGCTTTGTTGATCCTCCACCCTGTGTTATTGGTGTCTACAGTTTAAAAGACCCAACTGCTGAGGATGCTTACTCCCTTCACGGTAGAGAGAAAGCAGGTTTAGGTTCATGGGTTTCTTCAAGGCTGGAACCAATTACTGAATTTCAGAGTCGAGTTCATTATACGTGACTCTGAGCCACACAGGTCAGCCCTGCACAACCTCCTTGCCCTGAGTGAGACCCAGACTCCAAGTGACCAGCTCCAACAACAGGTGACTCACAGCCCTCTGCAGTGGCCCAGTCAGTACTGGACAGGTTTTGTTTGTTTGTTTTTGTTTTTAGAAGTTCCACATAATTGAGGGCAGTGTTATACATATGACACATACCAAATAAACACTTCTTGATTCAAAGGGTCAGAACTGAGCTTTATTTAAACTGGTTTATTTTTACACTGCTGTGCACAGTACTGTCTAGTTAGCTCGACTACTTCCAACATCCCTTCAACTCCTTTGGTCACAGAGGTACTGAGAGGAAGCCTACTTACAACTTCCCTAAATACTAAGAGAAATTTTAGGTCTGAAGGTAGTGGGAAGAAGCCCTGACCATGTGTAGTGAGCATGTGGACTTGGCTGTTGGGAACACGACCCCAAATGAGTGACTTAAGAAAAAGTTTATTCCTCTCTCACATCACAGGCTTGAGCAGCCAGAGCTGGCGTGAAGGCCTCAGGGTGACAGGAACACAGCCTCTTTCCTTTGTGTCAGTCAGCCATCTCTAAGGTCTTACTGTTTTGTACATAAGAAGGTTAACACTGACCCAGATGTATCCCAGCTAATAGGGACATGGGAGAATGTGCCCTGTCTTAAGGTTATGGCCCAGAGGTGTGGCCCTGCCTCTTTTATCCAATAGCCAAGCTTAACCCTAAGGCCCAACTAGGAAACCTAAACTAGCTGGGTGTCCATGGGCCTAGCTGAAAGTTCTGACTAGAGAAGAAAATAGATACGGAGGGATAATGAACAGCCCCTGGTGCTGAATCTATTCAGAGAGCAAAGAGTACAAGACTTTCAGGTCAGCATCTGGCACTGGGTCTTCAAGAGTTCCAAGGAAGGCAGAGCCACCTGGATCACCATCTGGCATTCCCCAAGGCTCAGGTCCAAGCGAGCAGCTGGGAAGAATGGGTCCTTCCTCTAGCTCCTGGAACTTTGACACTCTTCTTAGTATTCACAAAATGTCATTTTGCTTAATATTATAATTAGCCTTGTGCATCTCCTCTGTCTTTTCCATCAGAGTTCATCTTTTGAGGGCAGTAGGATGTCCTACTTATCCACCACTTGCCTTTCTAGATCTCTGGCCTCCATCACCAAGTATTAGTGGAAGAGATATCCAGGTCTGATGGAAGAGATGTGGTCCAGGGAAAGGCTGAGAGGGTACAGTGTGACACCAGACTGCTCCCTATCCTGTCCACAAGCAGCTGCTGGAGGAGCTCCATGCTACTCAGGGTGTGGCCCACAGACCAGGGGCAGCAGCACTACCTAGATATAGCTCGTTCTCAGACCCTGTTCAGACCTACTGAATCAGGTCTGTCGGGAATTTCCAAGTAGGACATATTCTCAGCAATATGAAGAAGAACTGTATTTTGAATCCACTACAAAGGGAGAAATGATGAAGACAGAATGTGGTGAACAAGAAAGGATACAGGATGGAGGAACAGACTTGGATGCCAACTTCTGTCCTTCATCCTACCCCTCACTGGCTATGTGGCTTTGGACAAGTCACCTCTTTAAGCTCTTTCCTCTGTGCCTTCTGCTATCTGTTCTCTCTTCTCCTATGATAACAGCATGTGTAGTGACCACTCAGAGTCAAGATCCTACTTTTCATCTTTCTTGGAAGGAGTTGCAGTCACATGGCCCTGTTTAGACCAATAGGATGCAAGCAGATGTAATGAA